GGGGGGGGAAAAATTTTTTTGCCCCCCCCCTTCCAAAAGGGGTTTTTGGGGGAAAAATTAAAACCCCTGGGGGCGCGGGGTCTTTGGGGAAAATTTTTGGGGAAAAAAAAAAAACCCTTTTAAATTTTTTCCCCCCCCCAATGGGGGGCTTCCCCCCTTTTTAAAAACGGGGGTAAAAAAATGGGGGCAAAAATTAAAGGGTTTTTTTTTTTCCCGTTTTTTCCCCCCCTTTTTTTGCCCCCTAAAAAGCACGGGGGGGCCCTTGGCAAAAAAAAAAAAAAATTTTTGGGAAAAACAAATTTTCAGAGGGTATTTTGAGCCCCCCCCCCCCCCCCCCCCCCTCCCCCACCGTACAGCCATAGATTGTATCATGTGGGAACATGAGGAATACTTGGTACTCGAGATTAATAGTTTGCAAAAAGGTTGATGCCTCTCAGTAACATTTCTCTATGAGAAACTTCTTCTTCACAAACAGCGCCTGAAACATTCGATCTTCTCAACGTCATGAAGCCCAAGTTGAAACCCATCACTCGTCGATGGTTTGCGCTTTGTACAATTTGTTTGTTATGCACTTACAGCATTTGAACGTTTATCGTCTTCGTGCTCACATGACTTCCCTCCCTCCCTCCCTTCCTCCCTCCCTCCCTCCCTCCTCCCTCCCTCCCTCCTCCCTCCTCCCCTCCAATCATGTCACGGCCGTTGATCCTGACAGTGGCCCTCATCCCCTGATGTCCCGGACCGTACTGAACTTGCCGCAGCGCCCGGCGCGGCGCCCGGGCCCCGGTGAACGTCCGATCCAGGTCCGTAATCCGATCAGAGTCGCCGGAGCGGCCTTCAACCTTCACTGAGTCAGTCGGACGCCAGCTGACTCTGCCCGGCCGCGGCGGCCGGGCGTTCGTGAGTCCGACCGTTCCGGGACTGAGAGTCGGAGGCCGGGCCGCCGGCCGGGCTCGGCTGCCAGAACGTCGGACTCCAAACGTCACGGACGTCAACCGCCCGGGCCCGGGCGGCGGTCCCAGCGGCGACTGAGTCACAGTGACCCGTCACGGCGGCCGTCCGATCACCCGGGGCCGCACTCAGCGGCAGCGGCGCCGCTCGCGAGTCGGCGGCTGCGGCTGGAGTGAATTGGTTGAGTACCACACATGAGGGCAGACCAGAGAAGCCACGGCATTTGTATGCAGTGCTGTATGCAGTGAGGGATGGGGTTGGGGAACTGAAGGAGGACAGAGGGTAGAGGGAAGCAGCTTGTTCTTGCCCTTCGAACCATCCTCTGATCGCCTTTGAGTGTCTATGAGCCATGGTGAACGTGAATGACTCCTGTCGTGATTCAACGAGATTTGTGACCTCTGTGCTAATGGTGATCGTGGTTCATGGGAGCTGATCGCATGCTCTTCAAGGTATGAGATGTCTTGTCCTTGAGAGCAGGTAGCTTGCTGGGATCATCTCGCATCGACAGCTGCTCTGATTGTTTGCCCCGCACTGCTTCGAGGCTGGTCCTGTTCTACGGCAGGAACTAGTTTCGCAAATGGCTGATCGGGAGGTTGAAGAGCTCAGCAAGCAGTTTCCCAAGTTCAAGTCGTTCGCAACTGAAGTAGAGAACTGCCTGTCGCTCTTTGAGAGGTCCAAGGAATGGTCGGACTACGTCAGCGCGCTCTCCCGACTCATCAAGGTCCTTCAACGACATGATTTCAACGACGTCGGCAAGATGGGGAGCCTTTCAGTGATCCCGGACAAGGCGCTGGTTGCGAGGAGGCTGGCTCAGTGTACGAACTCCATCCTCCCCAGTGGAGTCCACAGGAAAGCCCTCGATGCTTACCGCGTCCTCCTGACGAGGATCGGGCCCTCGCAGCTGGCGGTAGACCTGGTGCTGTGGAGCTCAGGGCTCTTCTCTCTCTTTCCACATGCCAACACCGAGTGCAAGAACATCCAGCTCCGTCTCATCGTTGACTTCTACATCCCTCTAGGCATGAACTTGGTCCCCTGCTTGGAGGGCCTTGTTATGTCCCTCCTCCCCGGGATTGAGGACGAGGCGGCCGCCTTCTACTCTGACACAGCCGCTTGCTTGGACCTCGTGAAGCACGCGACCTCTACCGAGCATTTCTTCAAGGCTCTCTGGTGGCTGCTGGGAAGCAGCGCCAACGTGCGCCTCCCGCTCCTCGCGCTGCTCAACCGCCAGATGAGCAGGATGGGGGGGGTCAAGGCAGCTGGGGTGATGCCGAGCAAGGAGGTAGTGTTCCGGGGGCTGTCGGTGTCTCTAGAGGACTCTTCGATTCTAGTTCAACGAGGACTGCTGGACCTGGTCATTTCTCACTTCCCTCACGCCAGCGAGGACGTCGGGTTCAGCTCGCAGGATTGGCTTCTCCTCACCCGAACAGCTCTGCGACTGTACGCAAGGAGAGATATGTCGCTCACCCGCCGGCTCCATACCTGGTTCATGCCGGCAGTGGAGGAGGAGGAGGCTGCTGAAGAGGAGGAGATGAGTAAGAGGAGGAAAAATATCTTGATGGAAGCTGTCTCTTCGCTCCTCTGCGAGGGTTATACCGACACGCTGGGAGCGACGCTTCCTTTCCGCGTGATCCGCTCGCTCATGGAGAAAGTGGAGCTGCGCGAGACGATACCTCAACAGCTCGGAGTTCCCATTCTCCGGGCAATATGCGATGCAAAACTGCAGGAAGGAGGAGGGGAAGGAGGAGGAGGAGGAGGAGGCGGTAGCGGAGGAGTGGGAGGTGGTATTGGAGGAGGCGATGTGCTTGACCACCCGGGACCTTCCAACAAGGATCACAGGAGAGAGAGGTTCCATTTCGCTGCTTCTACCCTGAGAGAGCTCGATCCTCGTATCATTTGGGCCACGTTATTCAATCACCTGCTAACTATGTGGCATGCTTCTCTGAAGGTCGTTCTCTCCTTCCCTCCCTCCCTCCCTCCCTCCTCCTTTCCTTCTTACCATGTTGCAGCCCTTCTTGGCTACATCTCCCAATTTCTTCCTTTCACGCTTGCAATCTCTTTCTTTCTTCCATTATCTTCCATTACTGCCCCTTCCCCTCCAACGTCCCGACTGACCTGCTGTGCACAGGAGAACAAACGCAGCGATGAGTTTGTCCATGTCATCGAGCTAGTCGAGCTCTTTCTCCTTGAGTTCGTGAGCAAGACTTCCGCGAATGTGCAGTACGAGGAGGAGGAGGACGTCGATCCTCTTGCCCTTGCCCTCCGTGTGCTGGGGGATCTGAGCGGTGCTGCTTCCGCTGAAGCTCTGAGTATCCTCCGACATGATCGCCGTCTCCTCCTCCCTGATGTCTTGCTCTCTTCCATATCCCGTATCAATGCCGTGCTAACGTGCCTGATCCAACTTGCAAGCAGCCTTCAGTTCAACAAGGACGCGGTAGGAGAGCGATGGGAGTTTCTGTCGGACAGCTTGTGCAGAGGAGGGAGGGGAAAGGGGAGCGAGGAGGCATCTTCTTTATATCCGATCGAGAACATCTGCAGAGTCTTGTGGTCCATGGTGCAGATCATAATACGCTATGAAAGGGGCAAGGAAAGCATCAAACTGCACATCCGAGGAGGAGGCGAACTTTTCAAGACTTTCCGTATTTCCATACAGCTGATCGTTTCCCTGCTCTGCGTCCTTTTCAGCATGGCAAAGACAGACTTCATCCTGAGTCTGACCCAGGAGGGACAAGGAGAGCGTGAGAGACAGGGCAGAGTGACTTATGAGAATGTAACGACGGAAGAAGGGGGAAAAGAGCAAGCACCAGCGGAGGAAACAGCAAGTGAAAGAGTAGAGATGGTCACCGAAGGCCAACCTGTAGGATCCAAACCAGAAGGTGGAGAAGCAGGAGCAGGAGCAGGAGCAGGAGCAGGAGCAGAGGCGAAGGTTCAGCTGAATTGGCTTCGAAGTCTCTTCTCCTGCTGCAGCATCGGCAACGCTGCGATCTCCTGCATGGGCATCAAGGCGCTGCTCGACCTCCGTGACCTCGTGGGTCACGACCGGGTGGTCATGCGATGGCCCGTGTGCGGAACAAACGACTGGACGGGGCTGGCAGGGATGCTGTGGGCGGCGCTGGAGGATGAGACGGCGGCAGCAGTTGCTGCGAGGCTGTTCCTTCGGATTCACGGGATCGATGGCAGGTGAGATGAGATGTGGGGAGATGGGGAGAGTTTGAATTCAGTGAGGAAAGAGTAAGACTAGGGAGGGAGGGAGAGAGGGAGGGAGGGAGGGAGGGAGGGAGGGAGGGAGGGAGGGAGGGAGGGAGGGAGGGAGGGGCGGAAGCAAGACGTGACAGCAGAGGAGTTAGTCTGGACTCTTCTTTTTCGTGTGTTTCTCTTGTATCTGGTTCCTTACCAAGTTGTTCTGCTGCAGATCTTGCCGCACTGTCCTCTCGAATGCACTACTGGGGGAGGGGGAGATGGATGGTGCGAGGAAAGGAGGGAAGCAGAGGAGGGGGGGATTCCAGCAGAAGCTGTTGGGAAGTGATTTTCAGCTCGGCTTTGGGATGGAGGACGATGGTGTGGAGAGGAAGCAGATGGCGAGGTTGAGAGGCTACGCGCGATTCAGCAAGCTGTGGAGCTCAGCGGGAAGGAGCGAGTACTCAGCGGAGCAGAGGAGCGCGCTCGGCCACGGCCTCCTGCTGGCTGTAGAAGCTCTTAGCGACCCAGATCAGAGCATGCAGCTCGCGGCGCGCTCGTTCCTGCTGGGAGCGATCCACGAGACGGAGAGGGTACTTGATCCCCTGCTCTCTGTCCTCCTCGCCGTCGGAGAGTCGACCAAGGAGCCGCTGGACGCAAAGCGCATCACCCACATGCTAGGCAGGCTCACTTGCCTCGTCTCCTGTACCTACGAGGTCCTCGTGCGGGGGAGGAGCGGGGAGGGAGGAGGAGGAGGTGCTGCCTCCACCCCGATATCTCAGCACATTGCCCAGCTGGATGCGAACTGGGTCAAGCTCATCTCTCGCTCGGTCCAGCTGTCGACCGCAGAGCCCAGCTGGGAAGTGGGCGTTTCACCCCCAGGGACCCCGCAAAGTCGAGGGCTGCTGAGCAGCTGGGGAGGGACGAGGACGGGGAGTGCCGGCCGGCAGAGGCAGCCGGCGACCCCCAACGAAGTTTGGATGAGGCAGCAGGAGCAGAGCATGTCGCTGTTCCTGCCCCTCCCCCCGTCGTGCGACTATCTCTCAGCCATGGTGATGATCGCCGCTCGCTTCCTCTCCGCTGGGTTCCGCTGGCTGGCGCACGGGGAGGCAGCGGCGCTGAGGAGTGAAGCTGCAGACTTCATCATGAGCATCCTGCAGGCAGAGACGGACGGGGAGCAGCTGCTGAGGCTGACGCGCATGATCGCGCTCCCAGTCCTCGTGCAGATGCAGGAGGCGCTGAGGGAGGATGACTGTACGACCCAAGTGAAGCTCCTAGAGCTTCTTGCCGTCATCCTTGCCAAGACAGACGGTATCCTCCTCCAGGTATCCTCGCACGAGAGCCCCGTCCTCCAGCCACAGGGCTCCTCCTCCTCCTCCTCCTCCTTGGACTCCCTCGGCGTTGCTCGGCAGGTCTTCCTGCGCTGCGTGCTGGCGGGACTGGAGCACGAGCATCCCCTGGACTCAGTGGCTAGCGACCACTGGCTCTCCTTCACCGTGAGCTGCATCCCCTTCCGACGGGTGCAGGACAAGCTGGAGCTGTTCCTCATCCCTGTCCTGACTTCGCTCTGCAAGAGGATCGTCCACCGATGCCCCTGCTCGTACGAGGACGAGGCGGCGCACGAGGCGTTGTCGCTGCTCAAGGGAGTGTCTGTGGTGTTCAAGAGGAGCCTTGCGAGCAGGGAGGGAGGGAAACTTTCCTCGTCCTCCTGGCAGCTAGCAGGCGCGGTCAAGGGGCATGGCAGCGGAAGGAAGGATCCTGACATGAATCAGCAGCACAGCAGCCGCAGCTCAAGAAAGATGCTGGACATCTCTCTGTGGGGGAACGGCTTCTTCTCCTCCTCCCAGGAGGAGAGTACTCCTGTTCCTACCGATGCCTCCTTTGACGTGCTCCTGAAGCTGCTGTCTCCTCCTGGCTGGATCCCTGGTACCTATCTGCTGCTCCTCGATCCCTCCGTTCACGCTTCCTACTACCCTCTCCCCTCCTCTCCCCTCCTCTCCCCTTATCTTCGTCCCCTCTCCCTGGCCTTGGACTCCTTCTGACTTTCGTCTCCCTCCTGCAGAGTCAGCAGGGACTTCTTCAGTGATGGGAGCGCTGCTCGGAGCATGGGGGGAGGGAGTTGAGGAGGAGGGAGGAGGGAGCGGCGCCTCTCTGTATGCTCACTTCAGCCTCGGGGCTCCTGAGTTGTTCGCGGATCTTTGGACTGACAGTAATGAGATGGGATGGGAGTTCAATACGATGGAAGAGGAGGGGGAGAGGGAGGGGATTAACGATCATGATGCTGATGATGATGTTAATGACCATGAAGAGGAGACAAGAGATGAGTGATACGTGATGGAGGAGGAGGAGGAGGAGGCAAGATGAGGGAACAGCAGGAGGAGGAGGAGGAGGAGGAGGCGGCGGCGGATAGCTGATTGGGTTCTGATGTCATCGATGACGATACAGGCAATCAGGAGGAGGAAGAATGATATATCGCAGCGTCTCAAGTACAGCGAGTCCAGGTTTCCTTTCCATCTCCATCCTTTAGGCGCCCTTGAGTTTGATTCTCCTCCTCCTCCTCCTCCTCCTCATTTCGCGCTCTCCTCCCTTATCCTCATTGTCTGGCCTTCATCGTCTTTCTTAGAGACTGATCACCAACCAGCGTTCTTTTCTTCCTGCAATTTCATCTGGCAAGGAGGACAGGAACAGTCGACCCTCTCCTCAAAGCGATGGTATCGACAGATTCGTTATCTTTTCTCCGTCCTTTCTCTTCCCTCCTCTCCATTTCCCCCTGTTCTCTCTCCTCCTCTCTCCTCTCTCCTCCTTTCTCCTCTCTCCTCCTCTCTCCTCTCTCCTCCTCTCTCCTCTCTCCTCCTCTCTCCTCCATCTCACCCACTCCTTCTCAAACCCCGTCCCAACCTCTCTCGCCACTGCTCTTTGTTCTCTGCTTTGTTCCTCTCATACTCATTACCTCCGTTCACCTGCCTGCCCTGCCCCTTCTCTTCTTTTCTCCCTCTCCTCCTCCTCTCCATCACTCAGCTGCTCTTCCCGTTTCTCTAGCCTTTGTCCTCCTCTCCATCATTGTACTCCTTGACGTCTTCTGATGATATTCTAGCCCACCATCACCAGCGCAATGAAGGAAGCTGTAGGAGGCACCAACGACCCGCACGTCATCCTCGACATTCTTATCGGTAAGGGCAACAAAACATGTCAACCCCAACAGAAAGTTGTGCAAGTCATGAACTACGTCCCTATTTTGATATGTGAACATCCCGAAATGAGTTTTGACATGTAACTCTTGTTCTTCGCTGCTTTCTTCTCATGTCTTGGATGCATTTGCTCACTGCTCTCCTCAGTGTTGAATCGCTACATCTGCAAATGCCCCTCGCTCATCGAGCGGACGCGAGAAAAATCTCAACTGCAGGATTGCATACAGGTGCGAATGAAATGGAGAAGGAGCAAGGACAGGAGAGAGAGGAGAAGGAAGAGGTGGACGAAAAGGAAGAGGAGGAGGAAAAAATAGGAAGGAGTCGAGAGAGAGAGGAAGATAGGTGAAGGGGGGGAGAGGAGGAGGGGGAGGGAAGAGAAGAGGGAGGAGAGAGGTGAGAGGAAGGATTGCGATGAGCTCACGAGCATTGTTTTAGAACGTCGTTATCGCTTGTCTCAACTTGACAAACATCTCCTCCGATTTCAACTTCTCTTCCTCGAACTCAGCTTCTAAGTATGTCCCCACCTCCTCCTTTTCCCCTCATAACAATTTTCTCCTCCTCTCCTCTCCTTGTTTTTTACATTCCATTTCTTGCACCTTCAACTCCGCTCCCCTGTCCTGACCTCTCCCTTCTCCTCTCCCTCCTCTTCTCCTTTCCTTTCCCTTCTCTTCTCCTTTCCTCTCCCTTCTCTTCTCCTATCAACTCCTTATTCCTCCTCTCTTCTCTGCTTGACGTCTTACTGTATTCCTTCATCAGCTTCCTCAAAGGCTCTTCCTCGATCTCCCTCAGCCTCATCCCTAGCGGCAGTTTCCTCTCCCGCATGGCGAGCAGCGGAGAAATTTTCTCCGACGAGCTCGTGGGCAGGCGACCAGCGCTCGATGACACGATGAACGAGCAGCTTCTGGATGCGAGGAAGAGGATAAGTTTGCGCGCCTTGCGGGTCAGTGACTATTCAGTCCCGCTCCTCCTGTTCCTGCCTCTGCTGCTCCTGCTCCTGCTCCTGCTCCTGCTCCTGCTCCTTTCATCTGAACTCTCTCAGCGGCCCTCCTTCCCCTTCGCATCGCTCCTCCTCTCTTCCTCCCTTGCTCCTCCTCCCTCTCTCCCTCTTGTTATTCCTTCACCTTGATGAGCCGCTTCAGGATCTCGGCGATCACCTCGCGCATCTGCTGGAGGAAGGATGGAGGGAGAGCGAGGATGGGGTCGGAGTCGTGCGATCCCACCGAGATGGTCTATCCCTCCTCATGTCCAAGGTGATGCTTTATCCCCTCCCAGTCCTCCTCCTCGCCATGCTCTCCTGCTCCTTCCCGTCCTTGTCGTCCTTCTCTTCCTTCTCCTCCTCCTCCTGGTCCATCTGGTCCTGCTTGCTGCCCTCTTTGCCTTTGTCTGTGTCCTCATTTCCGCCGCTATCGCCTTCATCATTCCCTCAATCCTGCTCTTTCTCCGCCTTATTCATCCTCTTCCTCGTGTTCACTCGCTTACCGTCTACTTCAGGTCGTCGATACCCTCAAGCTTATCATCCGCTCTCGCTCCACCGCGACCTCCCTCGTCCCTCATGCTCTGCAGGCAATCCGCGTCCTCTCCTCCCTCCAGCACCCCATGTTCGTGCGGCTCTGGAGGAAGGACGTCATTGAGCTCTTCAACGACCCAGCCTTCTTTCAGATGGGCGTCAGCAGCGAGGACTGGTGCATGCTTGTTGACGTTGTCATGGCGCAGGAGGAGGGAGCCTTCGCAGAGCTCCTCTCCTCCTCCCCTGGAGCACATGCCGGGGCCTCCAACATGCTCTATGGGATGAATGGTGAGAGACGAGGAACGCGCAAGCTGATCTTCTTGCCTTCCCTACCCTTCCTCCCTCCTGCTCCTGCTCCTGCTCCTATCATCATCGTCATTATCATCGTTAGCAGCAGCATCATCTAATCCTCACCTTGCCCTCTTCCTCTCCTCTTCGTCCTCTGCATTCTGTGCCCTCCTTCACGCGACCTTCTCTTTCAATTAGTGCTCCTCCTCTCACTCTGCTCACATCTCCTCCTCTTCCTGTTTCCGCTCACTCGCTTCTCAGTCCTCATCACGGGCATAGAGGGCAAGTACCGGCAGCATTCCGACTACATCAAGCGCCTTGGCTTCATCCTGTTGGCTGGGGAGGTCGACCAGTACCTCCTCTCCCTCCCTCAGATCCTTGAACGCCTTGTCGATGCCCTGCGGTTGCCTCCCGGACCAGGCTTGGGACAGGTGAGGGCAGGAGGAGCAGGAGGAGGGGGAAGAGGGGGAAAGGGAGGAGGATGAAGGTGAAGGGGAAGGGGAGGAGGAGTGTCCTAACGAGGAAGGGCAATGACGGTGGGAGAGCAGGTGTACAGGCAGGTATTTCTCTGCAAGCGTGTCCTCCTCGTCCGCCTCTCCTCCCGCAACCTCGTCTCCTTCTGGCCCATCGTCCTCTCAGAGCTCATGCGCATTCTCCGTCAAGGGAGGAGCGACTCTCCGCTGGACTCTCAGCTGGACCCTGCCGTTCCCTTCGCCGCCCTTAAGTTCCTCGACCTCGCTGCTGTCCTCCAGCCCGAGGAGTTCCAGGCCATGCAGTGGGGCTTCTTCTCCAGCGTCTCCCAGCTCGACCCCAGCTGGAACTCACGTAGCTCGTTCCCCTTTGAGCCGCTGGCGGTCTCCATCGCTAAGCTCGCGGGGGGGGAGGAGAAGCAGGAGGAGGGGAAGGCAGAGGAGGGAGAGGAGGGTGCAGCTAAGAACAAGGAGGAAGAGAGACATCTGGAAGAGCAGAAGGAGCCGAGCGAGCTCAGACGACCAGTACTGGAGCAGCTGACGGTCACGACAAGGGAGGAGCTGATAAGAGCTGCCAAGACCTTGGTGGCGGTAGGAGGAGGAGGAGGAGGAGGGAGGCAGGAGGAGAGGTTGGTTGCGGGGAAGAAGAGGAGGTAGAGAAGGAGGAGCTGGTGCTGAAGCTTGGGCAGGCGCAGGGTCGGGTGATGAAGAGCAAGCGGGCGGACGTGGAGTACATAGTGAAGCAGCTGAGGGAGGAGCACGATGACTTCCTCTGCGACCGCAGGACGTTCATGGATCAAATCGATCGCATGCCCGAGAGGACAGAGGAGAGCGAGGTTGAGCCGGAGGTCGGCTACGTGTTCCCCGACAGAGAGGAGGAGGAGACGGTCAAAGGGGCAAGAGCTCATGAAGCAGGGGCGAGAGGTGAAGGAGAGAGAGGGAGGGGAGTTGAAGTGGAGAGGGAGGAGCTCAAGGCAGTTGGAGACAGAGAGGTAGAGGAGGAGGCAGGAAGAGGTGCAGGAGGTCGCTCGTTGTTTTCCTGGAAACTTTCGGCGAGGTCGAGGAGCCGGCGGGACTTGAGGATGCGGCGGCGGTAGGAGGAGGCGGGGGAAGGCACTGCTGACACGTTGGCCTCCAGGTGCAGGAAGAAACCAAGGAGGAAGGAGAGGAGGAGGAGATCACGGAGAGGATCAAGATGCTATCGACCGTGTTCTCCAACGGAGTGCCGGAGGCAGCGAGCGAGGAAGGGAGGAGGGTGGAGAGTCTTCTGTACGAGGACACGGTAGAAGAGCAGCACTTGCCGCCGATCGCGGAGGGCAGCGTGAGAGACGTGGAGGAGGAGCAGGAGAAGCGGGAGCTGGAGCTGGAGCTGGAGCTCCCGCAGCCGCAGGAGGAGGAGGAGGAGGAGGAGGAGCAGCAGCAGCAGCAGCAGCAGCAGCAGCAGCAGCAACAGCAGGACGCGGAGCAGGAGCAGGAGCAGGAGCAGAGAGGAATAGGCAAGAAGGAAGATACAGTGGCTCGATTGCAAGGCATCGGTGTTGGAGAAAGAAGAAGCTTGGAAACTGCTGGAGGGCAGCACGAAAGAAATGACAGCGGTGAGTGTGCGAGGGAGGGAGGGAGGGAGGCAGGCAGGGGAGGCAGGGAGGGGAGGGGAGGCGAGGCAGGGAGGCAGGGAGGCAGGGAGGCAGGGAGGGAGGGAGGGAGGGAGGGAGGGAGGGAGGAGGGAGTGATATTTTTTTGGTGCAGTGGGGAGCGATGGGTCAACTTTTAAGGATTGCATCGAATGAGATAACGCAAAGAAAGTCTCCACCACTCCTGCCGCTGCTCTTCCTTGTTTCTATCTTAACGTCCACCTTGCCTGCTCTTGCTCCTTTCGTCCTTGCCAGTGCGTTCCTTTAAGTTTGACCTCCTGCTCGCTTCAGCACCTGATCTCTGTCAAGAACAGTGCAAGAGAAAAGGAGCAAGAAAGCAGCAGCAGCAGCAGAACTTGGATTGGGTTTGAGGTTGGAAGAG